CTACATCTTTCTATCAATCAGATGGTTTCATAACTTTAGATTTAGGATCTGTGACCGGAACACCTAAGCATAAAAATATGGGGCAATTCGGTGAATCCCTCTTTATGAAACCTCCGCTATTATTTCCGGTGCCTTCAAATCCTTGCAATCCATTAGATACAAGATTAATTAATCAGATTTTGTCTTCTTTAAACCCTTCATTGGTACAATATTCTGGTTTTTATGATCTGAGAGGTGAATGTTCAAATAATCATGCGAAATTAGAAAGAATTGCCCGAAATTGGGATAAAAACTGTCGGCGTCGTACTAGTAACGCAACTAATTTAGATGAACCGATCAGGTTATTGTATGATTCCTTCTTAATCCGTCAAAAGATTGGTGAAGGTGCATATGGTAAAGTTTATCGTGTATTGGATCTTAAGTTCGTGTCCGAAAATCACAAAGACCCACGGGCATCACGTGCTTTGAAACTTCAAGTGCCTTCTACAGCTTGGGAATTTTACATAATTCGAAAATTACATGAAAGAATTAGCTCTCCTACAATTAATTCCATAATAACTGCACACTCTTTGTATTATTATAAAGATGAAAGTTATTTGCTTACTGAGCTTTGTTCTCATGGAACGATCGTGGATGCTATAAATACTGCAAAAAGAGAAAATTCTACAATGGATGAAATTTTGGTAATTTTTTTTACTATCGAACTTATGAAAATAGTCGAAGCGATTCATGAAGCGGGAATAATTCATGGTGACATAAAGGCGGATAATTGTCTATTGAGGTTAGAGCGAACAGTTGAGTGGGATTCTCAATATGATCCATCAGGTGCTCATGGTTGGTCAAAGAAAGGGATTAAACTAATCGACTTTGGAAGAGCAATTGATGTTACATTATTTCCTCCTGATATGAAATTTATAGCTGATTGGAGATGTGATGATCAAAATTGCATTGAAATGAGAGAAGGTAGACCATGGAAATGGCAAGCAGATTATTACGGTTTAGCTGGCGTAATACATTGTATGCTACATAATGAATATATGCAAATTACTCCTGTGCGAACGGATATCGATTCATTCTCATCAGGTGCAACTATTTCGACAAAAAAATATAAGCCGATACAATCTTTCAAACGTTATTGGCAAGGAAATCTATGGGCTAGGCTATTTGATATGCTATTGAACCCATCATTAGTTCGTTCAGACGGACGATTACCAATAACTCAAGAATTAAGTAGTATAAGAAAAGAGTTTGAACAATATTTGATTGCTAATTGTGAAAAAATTGGAAAGGAGTTAAAAGCGCAATTGAAGAGATTGGAAGTTAATAGTGAAATAAATTATCATGGTTGAACACTTAGATTTGATTGGCAATTTTTCATGATAATTTTAATTACAAAGTTTTTTGTTTTTGTTTTTGAATTAATAAATTTTAATATAACGATTGATAAATACGTTACATAATATCTTGGCAAGTGTATTAACTAAAAGATTGACATTTAGTTTATGTTCTAATTTTGTCCGAAACGGAGCGAAGGCCTATCACTGTTCAGGTTCCGTTGTCCGCATACGTGA